CAAGAAGATGTTTAACAAGATTTCAACCTTCTTGAATTTGTTAATATTTATTTTGTGTCAAACATTTGGCCTATCTTTGAGAATGTTCATTGTAAATTAGATGAGAATGTATTGCTTTGGGATGAAATGTTCTGTAAATTTCAATTAAATCCATCTGATCTAGTGTCTAATTTAAGGCCTCTGTTTCCTTGTTGATTTTTTATCTGGAAGATCTATCCGGTGATGTCAGTGGGGTGTTAAAGTCTCCTTCTATGACTGTAATTCTGTTGCTCTCCCCTAAAGTCCACTAAGAGTTGTCTTAAAAAAATAGTGTGTGTGTGTGTGTGTGTGCGCGCGTGCCCACCCGCACGCACATGCGTGCCTATATATTTACCACGGTTATATCCTCTTGTTGGGCTTATCCCTTTAGTATTATATAGTGGCCTTCTTTGTCTTGTTTATGGCCTTTGTTTTGAAGTCTATTTTGTCAGATCTGAGTATTGCTACCTAACTTTTTAGTTTCTATTTGCATGGAATATTTTTGTTATTGTTAATCCTCAGCTGAGGATATTTTTTCCATTGACTTTTAGAGAGAGTGCAAGGGAGGAAAGAGAGAGAGAGAAACATCAATGTGAGAGAGATACATTGATTGGTTGCCTCCCGCATACTCCCCGACTGGGATTGAACCTACAACCCATGTACATGCCCTTGACTGGGAATCAAATTTGTGGCCTACTGCTGCATGGGCTGAGACTCTAACCACTGGGTCACACTGACTAGAGCACGCATGGAATTTTTTTCTATCCCTTCACTTTCAGTCTGTGTGAGTCCCTTGTTCTGATGTGGGTCTCTTATAGACAATATATATATATGTTTTCTTATCCATTCAGCTACCCTATTTTTTTATTAAAGCATTTAATCCATTTACTTTTAAGGTTATTATTTATTGGTATTTATTTATTGCAATTGTTTTTCTTTATGCCTGTGTTCCTCTCTCTCTCTCTCTCTCTCTCTCCTTACAGCATTCCCTTTAGTGTTTCTTGCAATCCTGGTTTGGTGGTAACGAACTTCTTTAACCTTTTGTTGTTGGTGTCCGGAAGCACTTTATTTCCCTTTCAATTTTCAATGCAACCCCAAAGCTTATCCCTGGCCTCCTGACTCCTGGACAGAAGCCTCCCCTGGAGGCAGAGTCTTTAAGTGCTCGCTCTGCATGTCTCCCTGCACCTCGGTGCTGTGGGACCAGGAAAGCAGGGGAAGGAAATCGTCCCTGAGCAGAACTTTGATTTCTCTCTGTGTCTCACCACAGAGCAGGGGTGAGCATTTTCAGCTCCAGGCCCTGGGCAGCAGAACAAGCAGGACAGGCTAACCGAGTGTCAGCAGGCGGGCGTGTGGTGCTGGCGAGACCCATCCTCCTTCCCAGGCCACATGGTTTGGCCCCTGCCTGGCTCTCTGCCCACAGTCCTCCTGCTATGCCCAAATTTCAAGATCCCCAATAGACCAACAGGGAGCCAGCTGAGTCCAATGCAAAAGCAGAGAGTCTTTATTACAAACCCGGGTTTGGCTCCCAGCCTCTATCAACACAGCAGCGAGACGAGAGTGCCAGCCCTGTGGGAAAAAGGGGTTTAATAGTAAGGGGAGGAGAGAGGACTGTGGGCCCTGCCGATTGGCCAGGCGCAAGTCGATGCCTCGTTACACAGGATGTGGTCGTATCTATGGCGCGCACTTCCCTTGATTATCATTGGTTAGTTTAAAGAAATCCTAGGTGTGGCTAGCAGAGGCTTGGGCTTCTTCCGGAAAGGAGCTCTTTGCTGAGCACATGGCTCTGCCCAAAAATGGAGGATTCGGGGCAAGATGGAGGGTGTAGCCCTCGCCTTTCACTCCCAGAGAACACAGCCCCTCAAGGTCATTGCTGAGTGCACTGGCAGACCCTCCACCAGGTGGCGTGGCCTGTGGGCTATGCACAGTCACAGACTGCAGCGAACTTCCCTGGCTGGTGGTAGAAGAGGAGCTCCCCTTCCCTGGCTGGTGTTGCCGAGTCTCCCAGGTGGACAGAATACCCACTGATTGCCACGCCCCAGGCCACAGGGGCCCCTTCCTGTCTCTGTTGCTGTGGGTTGGGGATCCTTGCACAGGGCTGAGACCCATGCTCCCTGGAGGAGGGAGCTCCACAGCCAGGATCCCTCCCCCGCTCCCACTTCCTAGCCACCAGCTGTATTAGGTGGCCTACCCTCTCCATGTCTTAACACCCCTACAGGCTCCTCCTGTCTTCCTTCATGCTCCTTGGTTATAATATTTCAGATCAGCTACACCTCAACTGCTTTTTCAAGCTGATTGCTCTCTAATTTAGCTGCAAGTGTGGCCAGGGGCTGGGAGGAAGTGGATGGAGCGCCAGCTGCTCTGCAGCCATCTTGGCATCTCCTCCAGTGCAGACTTTCATGCGAGCGCTGACTTACACACGACCACCAGGAGGCACTGTGCTCAGAAGGATCCCGAGGCAAAGGCCTGGCTCGGAGGAATAAGGCCGCACAGCGAACAGGCCGGTCATGCAGGAGGGAAGAGGGTAATTTGTCATCTTTGCTGTAGGCCAGCTGAGAAGTCTGGGCTTACCACATGCATCTTTGTTCCTGTCCACACTTACTTCACATCTCACGTGCAATGTCTTTTTGGACAGGTGCGTTTCGTTTTGTTTTCCCTGAGTTTTTAGAAGTATTATCACTTAAATCCAAGCCTCTGTGGGTTTGCTTGGGGCCAGAGGTAAGGTTGCAGCTTCTCCACTTGACTTCCTTATTTTTGTAGAAGACACATCCCAATTGAATCTGAACCTGAAGCAGGGTCACTAGTAAGTTGTTTGGATTGGGTGCACCCTTCTGGGAATTTCCCTAATCACTTACTCTCAGCTACCATCTCAGCTTAAGGCTGGCGGTAGCCATGTGGGCCCAATGGCTAGCACCTCCTTGATGGGCTTCAGCAGGCACCTGGTGTCTCAACAGCGAGGTTCCCACTTCTTCCAGCTTCAAAGCTCATACTCCCTCTGAACTGTCATTCGTTTTCCGTTTCCAATCTCAGCGTCTTTTAGCTCATTTATAAAACAGAGAGTGCCACTGCTCCTGAATGCAGCGACTGCTCAGCTCAAGAACCTCCGGCCGTCGCTCCGGCCTACTTACCAAGGGCTTCTGAGTCCCATAAACTGTGAGCACGGTCTCCTTAGTGTGACCATTTTGGATACCCAGACCCCTGGCTGCGCAGTCAGGGTTCCCAGAACAGAGCCGAAGGGAGAGGAGGCCCCGGCGTCCGGAGAGCTGGGAAAGGGCCAAGACACGGAGGGTGGGAGGAAGGCAGCAGCATCTAAGATGAGGAAGTAGAGGCTCAAAGAAGTGGTCAGGGTCAGATGGCACCAGCACCCTGCAGGCAGCCCCCCGGGCCTTGCTGGGGCGGAGTTAGTGGTTGCCATTGTCGTGACACAGAATGTTTTCAGACATCGCTTCCCGGGGCCACGCACTGAAGACCTGCAGTGCTGGCTGGGCATGTGCTTGGCCTCAGGGTGTGGCCTAGGCCAGTGGTGATGGCCCTTTTAAAGTGAAAGTGCTCTGGGAATCCAGAGGAGTCCCTCCCTTCCTTCCTCCCTTCTTTGGGGACTGGAGGATCAAGAAGGGTCCATGGAAAAAGTGGTGTGTAAGGTGGGTCCCCAAAATGAGGAGGATTTCTCTCCCCGTCCTTTCCTCTTCCTTATTCTGTCCTGGGAGCCGCCTTCTTTGGCAGCACCGGTGTGGCTTGTGGTGAGGAAGAAAGCGGCTGTTCCTCTGGTCAGATCCGTGGGAAGGAGCGTGTTTCTGTGGACACGGCGTTCAGGGGAACTGATCTGCTCCTCGGTCAGGTGTTGCCCACAACTTTTTCCATAATCGCTCTGCAGGGAGCTCACAGTGCGCAGGAGTCTGCCCTCTGGGGTGCTGGCCCCTGGAGGCTGGGGCAGGTTGGGGTGGGCACTTCCCCCAGTGGCTAGGGCAGGTTGGGGTGGGCGCTGGCCCCCGGAGGCTGGGGCAGGTTGAGGTGGGTGCTGGCCCCTCGAGGCTAGGGCAGGTTGGGGTGGGTGCTGGCCTCTTGAGGCTAGGGCAGGTTGGGGTGGGTGCTGGCCTCTTGAGGCTAGGGCAGGTTGGGGTGGGCGCTGGCCCCCGGAGGCTGGGGCTGGTGCTGGCTCCGGGCCAGTCTGTGGAGCCAAAAGAGATGGCTTCAGAGGCAACTGAGAGCTCTGTATTTATGGCCCGAGTCCTGCTGCTCAATTTTGAGTAGCAGTTATAGCAACATTATAATCAAGAACGTGTGGCAGTGCCAGCTGCGGGGCTTGCCAGCACGGTGCTGGCTTCACATCTGGAGTGCTGACAGTGCCATGCAGGGCAGCGTCGTCACGGGGCATGTCCCCCTGCGGGGAGGGTGTCTCCCTGGGGAGAGGGTGTCCTCCTGGGGGCATGTCCTCCTGGGGGGAGGGTGTCCTCCTGGGGGGAGTCAGGTACATGCAGACTCAGGGAGCCATGTGCTGAGGAAGCAGGAGGCCCTTTCACAGAGAGGGAGGAAGTTAGGCGGCAGCTGCTCCAACCACAGAGCTCGGTCCCTCACACAGAGGGGTGTGAGAGCTCCTCCCACAACACTCCCATCCCTGTCTTGATTGAGGTCTCTGTCTGGGGGAGGGTGTCTTCCTGTGGGGAGGGTGTCTTCCTGGGGTCATGTCTTCCTGGGGGGAGGGTGTCTTCCTGGGGGCATGTCCTCCTGCAGGGAGGATGTCCTCCTGGGAGCATCTTCATAGTGGGGTGGCACCCTCATGCAACGGGCCACAGCACCACCCTCCCCAGGCTCACAGCTCTGTTTCCTGAAGTTCAGGGTCAGACCAGACCCCTCCTGCTCAGGCCTATGACTTAGCGAGGGAGGAGTAGTCACCGTTCCCTCACTGACATCGAATGCATCCCTGGTCTTTGCAGAGGGCCTGTAAGGAAGCCAGGACTGACTGTGTTATTCTGCTCTCCTTGCAGCGCCAGATGGGCGAGCGTACCTGATCGGCGGGCTGCTGGCCATCACGGGCGCCGCTGCGCTTGTCCTGTGTGTGTCCAGCAGGTTTAGGATCGACATTGTGCTTTGGTATCGAAGTGCCTTCCACTCTGCCGGGACCATAGCAGGTAAGTGCAGGTGTTCGCTCACTGTGTGGCCATTTGAAAACACTTGGTCTTGCTTTTGAGCTGCCTCTTATGTCGCTGGCACATGCGGAGGCAGGCCTCTCCCTGGACTTTCATGCTGCCAAATGCCTTCCTGGGCGCCTGCGCTGTCAGCCACACCCCGCTGAGGCTTGAGCAACCCAGGGGGCAGATCCCTAGGTCCCCCTGTAAAGCCTTTCAAAGGGATCGCACATCCACTGGTGTGAGCAAAAGAAGGAACTTGCTCCTTAAGCAAAGTGCTCTTCATCCAGGAACCACCCTCAGCACAGTGGGTGCATGTCAGGATGGGTGTGTGGGCAGGATGGGTGTGTGGTTAGGATGGGGGTGTGGGCATGATGGGTGTGTGGGTAGGATGGGTGTGTGGGTAGGATGGGTGTGTGGGCAGTATGGGTGTGTGGTAGGATGGGTGTGTGGTAGAATGGGTGTGTGGGCAGGATGGGGGTGTGGGAGGATGGGTGGGGGGGG